TCTAGCTTCTGACTAATTCTTGTGAGGAACTGTGTCGAAGGTCTTCTTGCAGTCCAAGAAAATGCAATCAACCCACATCTACTCATTTCTTACTTCAGTAAGTAACCTTGTCATAAAACTGTCGTTTGTAACCTTGTTCCGCTCCAGGTGCTCCACCACTCTCCTGATAATGTTCTCCATGACTTTGCATACTGTACACATTAGTGACACTGGTCTATAGTTTAGTACTTCATTTCTGTCTCCTTTCTTAAAGATGGGGACTACATTTGCCATCTTCCATACCTCAGGTAGTTGCCTAGTTTCAAGGGATGTGTTGAAGATTGTGGTTAGTGGCACACACAGTGTTTCTAAGGACCCACAGAGAGATGTCCAGTCCCACTGCCTTTGAGCTTCTGCACCTCCTCAGTTGTGTGTATTTCGTCCAATACTTATTGGTGTACCCCACTGTTTTGTTCTCCCAGTTTCCCTTCAGCCTCCACTGTAGATACTTCTGAAATCTCATGTTGAACTTCTCACATACTTCTTGGTCATTTCTTGTGAGCTCCCTACCTTTTTTCCTCAGCCTGATTACCTGGCTCTTGACTGTTGTCTTCCTCCTGATGTGGCTGTAAAGCAGTTTTGGGTCAGATTTGACTTTCGATGCTATGTCATTTTCGTACTGCCGCTGGACCACTCTCCTTATCTGTGCATAGTCGTTTCTGGCTCGTCGACTAATCTCTCTATTTTCCCGAGTCCTTTGCCTTCTGCACTTTTTCCATTATCTAGCACACTTAGTTTTTGCCTCCCTACACCTTCGGGTAAACCAAGGTCTCGTTCTGTTCTTCCCATTATTTCTGTCACCCTTGGGAGCCAACCTTTCCTCTGCCTCCTTGCATTTTGTTGTTATTTAGTCCATTTTGTTTACTGACTTTCCTACCTACTCTCTTTCCCACTGAACCTCCTGCAGGAAGGCCCTCGTACCTGTGTAGTCCCCCCTTTTATAGTTTGGCTTTTCCATTTCTACTCCTGTTACCCTCTCCACTTGTAGCTCTACGACATATTCAAAGCTCAGAACCATGTGGTCACTAGCTCCAAAGGGCCTTTCATATGTGATGTCCTCAATGTCTGAGCTACTCAGGGTGAACACAAATTCCAGTCTTGCTGGGTCATCCTCCCCCCCTCTCTCTGGTAGTGTCCCTAACATGTTGGTGCATGAGGTTTTCCAGTACCACATCCATCATCTTGGCTCTCCATGTTTTGAGACCCCCATGTGGCTCCAGGTTTTCCCAATCAATCTCCCTGTGGTTGAAGTCGCCCATAACCAGTAACTTTGCTCTTCTCAAGTGAGCTCTTTTGGCCACCTCAGCTAGTGTGTCCACCTTTGCTCTGTTGCACTCATATTCCTCTCTTAGCCTTCTGAAGTTCTGTGGTGGGTTATACATCACTGCAATGATTACCTTATGTTCCCCTGACTGAACTGTACCTACTATGTAGTCCCTTTCTCCAATCTCGTCCATTCCTTCCATTTCATGATAACCCCACCGGTTTTTAATTAGCAGTGCAACCCTTCCTCCCCCTCTGCTCCTTCTATCCTTCCTCAGGATCTGATATCCGGGTGGGAAGATTGCATCTGTTATGGTCCCAGTGAGTTTTGTTTCTGTGACTGCTATGATGTCTGGGGACATCTCCTTGATTCTCTCATGCCACTCCTCACATTTATTCGTTAATCCATCCGTGTTCGTGTACCAAACCTTCAACTTTTTTTCTATATATGTGGTATGGGGAGAATGGTGGGTTAGGGGTAGCAGGTGCCCTGGTGGGGGCCTATAGGGGGTTGCTGTAGGGGTGGGGCCTATTGGTGGGGGGGGGGGGGCAGGGGGGGGCCTATGGGGGTTTGTGGGGTGGGGATTGTGGTGAGGGGATGGGGTAGGGGTACTTTGGGGGGTTACGGGGGTTTCTGTGGGGGGGGGGTTTTGTGCTGGGGGGGGGAAGCAGGGGTACAGTGAGTGGGTTTTGGGTTAGGTTGTTTGGTTTTTAAAAATTGCCTGGTTGGGTTCCTTTGTGGGTGGTACTGGGGGGGGTTTTTGTTGTTTTCCCCGGGGCCCGGGTTTTTCCATGCTCTCCACCTTCCCTTGCCCCCCCCTTCCTCCTTTGAAATTTGCATCCTCTCTTTCGTTTTCATCCTTCTTCTTGTGTTTTTTCTGGGTCGAGTTAACTGGAACTTCAGTTGTCCATTAGGCCGTTTTCCCCTGCAGGATCCTTTTTTCAGCTGATCCCTTGAAAATCACTTTGACTGGATGCTTTTTTCCTTTTGCAAACCCCCCAAATTTCTAAAAAAATTTGTCAGCTGGGTCATGTCTCCTCTCCCATTTCTTTCATGTTTCTTTCAATCTTTTTTTTTCCCCCCCTGTTTCCTTGTTTAAAGTTTCCCCATTACTCTTGGGGCCCTAGACAAAAAAAAATCCTCTCCCTTTTTTCCTCCCCCTGTACTCCCTGAGATCCCCGAATGAATTAGTTTTTGCCATTGACGTGTTTTCTCCTACTGTCTTTCCCCCTTTTCCCGGTGTCCCTGTGCTTATTGGGAAGGCAGTTGTCTGTTAAGCCTCTGTGTATAGCTAGCTCCTTCGTTTTTTTGGGTTTCCCCATTTGTCCCACTGTTCTTCCCCGCCTTTCCTGGGCCCCATTGGGTCGTAGTCATTAAAACAGTATGCCCTTTTTTCCTACTGTCCCCCCATCTGTGACTGTGAACAGTTCTTGGTTTGTCGTTTATTCTTTTACAAGCTCTGATTTAGTTCTGCTGCTGTGATTTTTTTAACTCCCATTCTGCTCCCTCACTATTATCTTTCCCCTTTTTTGCAGAGCTCTTTTCCCGCCTTCTCTCCCCCCCTTCTTCTCATAGCTCTGCCTCCCAGTTTCTCTCCAGATCCACTCCCCGCTTCATCCACCAGTCCTCTGGTTTGGGTGCTGGTTTTTGGTATCCCAGTTTTTTTTTTTTCCACAAAGGAAGACTTATCCAAGAGTGGGTTTTGGGAGGGGGGGGGGGCTTGTTTTTTGGGAGGGAGGGGGGAGGAGGCAGGGGGGGGAAGGGATAGTGAAACGGGAGGGGGGACAGCAGCAAAGGGGGAAGAGAGAGGTGGGGAAGGGTGGGGGGCAGGGGGAAAGCAATGGGGGGGGGGGGGAGTAAGGAGGTGAGAAATGAGGAGGGAGAGAAAATCTGGGGTGTATAACCTGGTGGGGGTTTTGAGTTAGTTTTGATGATAATAATAATAATAATAATAATAAAAATGATTTTATAGATTTTGTCATGGTCGACTTAAATTGTGTAATTACGTTTAGTTAACTTGCCAACAAAATGCAAAATAAAGACAAAAGAATAATAGACATTACTGAGACAGTGTATCGCTTGCAGATCAAACTTTTCAAGTTTATAAAGAATACATGAGAAACTGGAACATACAGGCAGAATAAGGACTGTAGGAGAGGTGGTATAACTTGAGCATGGGAATGTCTGTGGAGGTCAAGTCGTCGAGTTTACCCAGCAAGATGGGTTCGGCTAGCTGATTTTTTTTTCTTTTTATCTATGTGATGGTGTTTGTGATGTAGACTGAAGTTGATACTAAAACTCGCCGTTGCTTTGATTATGTTCTTCCAGCTGCTGTTAGAACACAGAAACTTGAATTTACGGTTAATCTTTAGATGAACGTTGTAGTAGTCCGGTCCCAGGATCTGTGAATGGAGTACTGAACTGATCGCTAGAGTACTCTCTCAAACAGTTCGTTGTAAGATTACTGCTCCGGCTAATAGCTTGTCGATATAGCGATGCTCGTGTCAGTATTTCGCTGATGAATTAATGTATCAAGAATCTGTTGAGCAACAAGATAACTTATCGGAGGCAGCTCCTCTGAAGGAAGACACTTCACAAATCTGAAAAAACTATATGTTTGAACAAGTCTCTTAGCTCATTAAGATAAAACGGCGACTTACGTCGCCAGCAGATGGTCAAGGAAGAGGGTGTAATTGTCGTGCTTAAACAAGAACGGGATCTCATCAGGGTCGTAGTGAGCGATGAAGCGGTACTGGTGCATGTGTCGCAGGAGACAGTCAGTGAAGTAGATGTTCTCCTGGGCGAACATTTTACTCCGCTCCACAAGAGTCCACAACCTAGTTGAAGAGAAACTTTCAAAGCATTGTCAGATACAATGTATGCCACCCCTCTCCCTAACCCCTCCCCCCATGTCGCCAAATGATAGAAACATATGTAAGGAAACTTTTCATCATCTCCACCCATCCCAGGATTGAACACGGGCTCTTCAGTTGTGTGTCGAGGACAGTGGTGGCGCATCATGTCTCTGGCTACCAACAATTACCGAATAAATAATCTTACTTCCTCGATATTAAAAGTCAGACTTAAATAAGTGGATATTACAACCATATTAATAATGTTAATTGGTGGAAAATAGTATATTTCATCTACATAATTATTGCTGAGTGCATAGAAATTTTATTCGTATGAAATAGCAATCGGGATCGTTTTTCCTTGGGACACCAGTACGTAGTGAGCAATGATGGGTGGATGTACGTAGTGAGCAATGATGGGTGGATGTACGTGGTGAGCAATGATGGGTGAATGTACGTAGTGAGCAATGATGGGTGAATGTACGTAGTGAGCAATGATGGGTGAATGTACGTAGTGAGCAATGATGGGTGAATGTACGTAGTGAGCAATGATGGGTGAATGTACGTAGTGAGCAATGATGGGTGGATGTACGTAGTGAGCAATGATGGGTGGATGTACGTAGTGAGCAATGATGGGTGGATGTACGTAGTGAGCAATGATGGGTGAATGTACGTAGTGAGCAATGATGGGTGGATGTACGTGGTGAGCAATGATGGGTGGATGTACGTGGTGAGCAATGATGGGTGGATGTACGTAGTGAGCAATGATGGGTGGATGTACATGGTGAGCAATGATGGGTGGATGTACGTGGTGAGCAATGATGGGTGAATGTACGTAGTGAGCAATGATGGGTGGATGTACGTAGTGAGCAATGATGGGTGGATGTACGTAGTGAGCAATGATGGGTGGATGTACGTAGTGAGCAATGATGGGTGAATGTACGTAGTGAGCAATGATGGGTGGATGTACGTAGTGAGCAATGATGGGTGAATGTACGTAGTGAGCAATGATGGGTGGATGTACGTAGTGAGCAATGATGGGTGGATGTACGTAGTGAGCAATGATGGGTGGATGTACGTGGTGAGCAATGATGGGTGGATGTACGTAGTGAGCAATGATGGGTGAATGTACGTAGTGAGCAATGATGGGTGGATGTACGTAGTGAGCAATGATGGGTGGATGTACGTAGTGAGCAATGATGGGTGGATGTACTTAGTGAGCAATGATGGGTGGATGTACGTGGTGAGCAATGATGGGTGGATGTACGTGTGAGCAATGATGGGTGGATGTACGTGGTGAGCAATGATGGGTGGATGTACGTAGTGAGCAATGATGGGTGGATGTACGTAGTGAGCAATGATGGGTGGATGTACGTGGTGAGCAATGATGGGTGGATGTACGTAGTGAGCAATGATGGGTGGATGTACGTAGTGAGCAATGATGGGTGGATGTACGTGGTGAGCAATGATGGGTGGATGTACGTGGTGAGCAATGATGGGTGGATGTACGTGGTGAGCAATGATGGGTGGATGTACGTGGTGAGCAATGATGGGTGGATGTACGTAGTGAGCAATGATGGGTGGATGTACGTAGTGAGCAATGATGGGTGGATGTACGTGGTGAGCAATGATGGGTGGATGTACGTGGTGAGCAATGATGGGTGGATGTACGTGGTGAGCAATGATGGGTGGATGTACGTGGTGAGCAATGATGGGTGGATGTACGTGGTGAGCAATGATGGGTGGATGTACGTAGTGAGCAATGATGGGTGGATGTACGTGGTGAGCAATGATGGGTGGATGTACGTGGTGAGCAATGATGGGTGGATGTACGTGGTGAGCAATGATGGGTGGATGTACGTGGTGAGCAATGATGGGTGGATGTACGTGGTGAGCAATGATGGGTGGATGTACGTGGTGAGCAATGATGGGTGGATGTACGTGGTGAGCAATGATGGGTGGATGTACGTGGTGAGCAATGATGGGTGGATGTACGTAGTGAGCAATGATGGGTGGATGTACGTGGTGAGCAATGATGGGTGGATGTACGTAGTGAGCAATGATGGGTGGATGTACGTGGTGAGCAATGATGGGTGGATGTACGTGGTGAGCAATGATGGGTGGATGTACGTGGTGGGGCAATGATGGGTGATGTACGTGGTGAGCAATGATGGGTGGATGTACGTTGTGAGCAATGATGGGTGGATGTACGTGGTGAGCAATGTTGGGTGGATGTACGTGGTGAGCAATGATGGGTGGATGTACGTGGTGAGCAATGATGGGTGGATGTACGTGGTGAGCAATGATGGGTGGATGTACGTGGTGAGCAATGATGTGTGGATGTACGTGGTGAGCAATGATGGGTGGATGTACGTGGTGAGCAATGATGGGTGGATGTACGTGGTGAGCAATGATGGGTGGATGTACGTGGTGAGCAATGATGGGTGGATGTACGTGGTGAGCAATGATGGGTGGATGTACGTGGTGAGCAATGATGGGTGGATGTACGTGGTGAGCAATGATGGGTGGATGTACGTGGTGAGCAATGATGGGTGGATGTACGTGGTGAGCAATGATGGGTGGATGTACGTGGTGAGCAATGACGGGTGGATGTACGTGGTGAGCAATGACGGGTGGATGTACGTGGTGAGCAATGACGGGTGGATGTACGTGGTGAGCAATGACGGGTGGATGTACGTGGTGAGCAGTGATGGGTGGATGTACGTGGTGAGCAGTGATGGGTGGATGTACGTGGTGAGCAATGACGGGTGGATGTACGTGGTGAGCAATGACGGGTGGATGTACGTGGTGAGCAATGACGGGTGGATGTACGTGGTGAGCAATGACGGGTGGATGTACGTGGTGAGCAATGACAGGTGGATGTACGTGGTGAGCAATGACGGGTGGATGTACGTGGTGAGCAGTGATGGGTGGATGTACGTGGTACTGACCCGGTGATGGGTGTATGTATATGGCACTGACCCAGTGATAGGTGGATATACATGGCACTGACCCAGTGATGGGTGGATGTGCGTGACACTGATCAAGTGGCTGCCAGAAGTAGCACTTATGCTTATGATTTATTGACCACTAACTACTCAGCTGCTAACTAGGGTATCATAAATCAACGCACAAGTACATTGTGGACAAAACCTTCAGGTCAGGGACAAACATATATCATTCCATCAAACGTCAGTATGTCTCCCTCTCTACCCTCTCTTCTCTCTCTACCCTTTTCCAGGTCCCATTGGAAAAAAGTCACTGACTTTTTTTTTGTTTTGGGGGGGATATCCTAGTTAATATACACTTATGTATGATAATTTATGTAACTGTATTTATGTGCACCTGCACCTAAATAAACTTAACTATTCCACGAAATAATCTTTTAGACTGAGATTTGTAGAATCAAACAGATATTTAGTAAACATTTTTTCACTGTTTTTGCAGCTGTGAACATTCTGGTTCAACAGTGAGGACCTCTCATAAGATAATTTTGCATATTTTATGGTAAGTAAATTCATATAAATAATTTGCCAGCAGCTGTTTATAGATTTTTAAAATATATTTCTACCAGGAGAGACCTATTATAAATAATTTATGAATTCTTCCTCTTGATAATAAACACAAATATCTAATTTATAGAAAGTTCATCACGTCACAGGAGTTGTGAAGTATTTTAGTCTATCGCTATTGTAGCATAGCCTCGTGGCCGTAACATTTAAGAGTAGGATAAGCCTAAACAGTCATCATTATAATTCATTAGATCAGAAGGATGATTATATAAGTATTTTATTAAAAAATCTATTTAATCCTTAATTTAAGCCGGTTAAATATTTTAAAATAATTCGCTGTCAGAAAACTTAACAAAACAGTGATTCCACTTCTTTCAGGAATTATATGAATATATTGATAATTATATAAATAAAGATAAAAGATTAGGAAAGTGCTTGGCATGAATGTCGCTTGATAAGTAAGACTGAATTATAACTCTATACCTTGAAGACAGCACTAAGAATTCACTGTATAAGATTCAAAAGTTTTTGTGTAAGATTCAAGATTAACACAAAACCACAATCAACGAGAATCTGTCTTGCCTACAGACTCAGTGTTACAATCCAAAGGTAATGTATCACTCTAGTTGTAGGCAGGTGCATAGCTGGGCAAGTATAAACACTCGAGTGAACGAATGAACTAGCGAGGAAAATAGCTAGAACAAGAATAGAGGAATAGTAAAGACTGAATGAAGAAATGACAATAGGAAGAGAGATTATTATTATTATTATTATTATTATTATTATTATTATTATTATCAAAAGGAAGCACTAAATTTATAGAGAGGGAGAACAAGAGAAACCTTGAAGATTGAGACACTTATGCAACATATGGGAATCTTTATTCAGGAAACGTTTCGCCACACAGTGGCTTCATCAGTCCAATACAAAGTAGAAAGGCATAAGGAGAGGAGGAGTTTGAGGTAATCAGTCCCTCAGCCTGGAGTCGATGTGTTCAGTCCATCAGTCTTGTAGAATGTACAGCATAGGGCCGTAGACGTGGCTTATATACTGTAGTGAGGTGAGGCAGGAGGTGGTGGTGTCATAGTGGTATCATCCACTAGTCGAAGTAGGTCTTCGTCCAAAGGTTGGACAAGTGCTGTACATTCTACAAGATTGATGGACTGAACACATCGACTCCAGGCTGAGGAACTGATTACCTCAAACTACTCATCTCCTTACGCCTTTCTACTTTGTATTGGACTGATAAAGCCACTGTGTGGCGAAACGTTTCCTGAATACAGATTCCCATATGTTGCATAAGTGTCTCAAACTTCAACTTGTCGGTTTTTCAAACCATTCATCACAACTGTCAGACACTGCAGCATCATGGGATCTTGTTACAAAGAATTCTTCAACACTTGTCCAAGCTTTGGACGAAGACCTACTTCGACTAGTGGATGATACCACTATGACCCCACCTCCTCCTGCTTC